AAAAAGATAGTAATAATATATAAAATAGAAAAAAAACCTAGGGCCTCAAGCATGCCAGAAAAGCACTCTTTCATTAGCTACATCCCTAGTCCTAAAGTAATTTTAAATTTCTAAAACTCACACTTATTTATTTGTGTGTGTTAGGGATGGCAAATGCGCATGCCGCAGTGCCCCAATGTAGAAGCCAGAGGAGTCAGTTTTCTGTTTCCACAGTGTGATCCCTGGGGATCAGACTCAGGTTATCAGCCTGACAGCAAACACTCTGGCCTGTGTCTTAGTTACTTTTCAATTACTGTGACAAAACACCGTGACCCAGGCAATTTATAAAAGAAAGCCTTTAATTTGGGGCTTATGGTTTCAGAGAGCCAGAGTCCATGACTCACGGCAGGGAATGTGGCAACAGGCAAGCAGGCATAGTGTTATAACAGTAGCTGAGAGTTTACAACTTTTGGGGGGGGGGGGGAAGTAGTTTTGAGACAGGCTTTCTCTGTGTAGCTCTGACTGTCCTAGAACTCACTGTGACCAGGTTAGCCTTGAACTCACAGAGATCTGCCTCTGCCTCCAGAGTGCTGGGAATAAAGATGTGCACCACCACAACCTGGTGAAAGCTTACTTCTTAAACCACAAGCAGGAGGCAGAGAAAGCTAACCAGAAATGGCATGGGCTTTTGAAACCTAAAGGCTGGATCCCAGGAACACACCTCCTCCAAAGCCACACCTCCTAATCCTTCCCAAACAGTTCCATAAGATGGGGGCCAAGCATTCACATATATGAGTCTAGGAGATATTCTTATTCAAACCACCACAGCCTACTAAAATTATTTTTTAGAATATAAAATAAGAATATGGTACCGGGCAGTAGTGGTAGCACACACCTTTGATCCCAGCACTCAGGAGACAGAAGCAGGGAGATCTCTGTGAGTTTGAGGCCAGCATGGTCTACAGAGTTCCAAGATAGTCATTGTGGCTATATGGAGAAATTCTGCCTCAAAAAGAAAAAAAAAACAACAAACAAAAACAATATGAAGCATTTTGAGAAGTTTACTATTCTGGCCCTCTATTTTAGAGAGGCAACATGAAGTTTTGACTTTTTATTTCTGTGCAGTAGAAAAGTTAATAAAATAGGTTTCTGCCTCTTGCCAATCAGCATCAGAAAAAAACTGGCAAATTCACACTCTATATATACCCTTTAAACTAAATAGAAAAATCCAAAGGAAAAACAGAAACTCCCACAAGGCAGTTAAATTACCCAATTTACATTATTCTCCTGCCATGTCAACTGCTGTTTAGGCTTAATTATTTGCTCCTACTTCCTAGCACTCCAATATAGGTGTCAGAACCCTCTCTGCAGGTCTCTTCAGTGACATCTCTATAAAGAAATAGGGGTGAAACTTCCCAGGTTTCTGTGAGAATTAAAAGATTTATAGATTATCATCTTTCAAATTAGCAGGTTTAGACATGTGATACATGTTCAGTTCTGTTCTGATCCCCAGCGAAAGCAATTAACAAGAAGGGTAACTGCAATATGTTTTTCCCCCTAAGAGTCTGGCAGCTCCCTTAGGAAAGCAGGCCTCACACTGACAATGCTGACAGTACCAAGCGTTTCAAGATCCCTTAATCCGAAAGACTGTTGGTCAAATTCTCCACGGTGCCTACTTATCGGAGGGCACCCGGAGCAGAGTGGTGGGTGGCTCCTTCACATAGTAATCCTCACAGCAAAAGACAGGATGGGGTTTTAAGAAGACCTGCATCACCCACTTACTATAATCTAGATTTCCCTCAGTGTAAAATCAACTGGAGAGCAATACTGCGCCTAGCACAGTATGCACCCAATAGGAGCTCAATAAACCCTTATTTTTTTTTTAAAGGGGGTAGAGCTGGGGGAATGGCTCAACAGTAAAAACACTTGCTTACCATCATGAGGACCAAAGTTCAGATCCCCAGAAAACCACATAAACATTGGATGGGCATGGAAACCTTTCTGTAATTCTAACTTTGGAAGGCTAAGATAGGGGACCTCCAGAGCAAGACTAGCCACACTGGCAAGCTCTGGGCTTCACTGGGAGACCCTGCCTCAATGAATAAGGTGGAAAAGCAATCAGGATGATTCCTGACATTGACCTTGGGCCTCCGCCTGCATGTGCACCTACACATGTGTATATACATACAAAAGCATGCATACACACATACAAGCACACCATGCTCATAAAAACTGAAATAAATCAATCGATCCTTATTAAGTAAATAACTGAATAAGTCTGGAACACAGGAAGTATTCAGGGCTAGATAGATAGCTCAGTCCTAGGTAGTATTACAACAAAAAGTATAAGAATGTATTCAATAAATATTTGTTGGATAAATAAAAAGAAACTGTCAAGAAATGTCCTAAGTAACAGGAAAGGGAGATGTTATATTTATTACGAACCTATGTGTGACACATTATGAGATTTAGAAGATGAAATAATACAATGGGCTCTGGGGTCAGAGGCTGTGTCCAAATCCCAATGCCATCAGAACATACAGGAGGCCTTGGCCAGGTCTCCCACCATCAGCCAAACAGAGTCAGCTTCCCATTTTGGTATAAAAGGATAATACCTACTTAGTCTGCATGGCTCTTTCATTAAGTAGAAAAAATGAATATGGAGAGAAACTGCCTAACACAAAGCTTGGCATATGGAAGACTCAGTATAGAAAACTGGTAAAGTATATAGGGATGTAGCTCAGTCAGTTATTGTGCTTGCCTAGCATGTACAACCCTGAGTGCTGCAGAAAACTATGTGTGGTAGTGCACACCAATGATCTAAACACTCAGGAGGTAAAGGCAGGAGGATTAGAAACTCAAGATCATCTTCAGATACACGTCAAGCTCAAAGTCAGTCTGGGGTACATGAAACTGTCATTAAAAATAAATAAATAAAAGGAAAAGGGCCCAGGTGTGGCAGAGCACAACTTTAATCCCAGCCCTTGGGAGACAGGCAAGAGGATTTCTGTGAGTCTGAGGCCAGCCTGGTCTACAGAGACAGCCAAGGTTACATATGAGATCCTGCCTCAAAAAAAAAAAAAAAAAAGGTGGGGCCAGATGGAGGGGGAGGCAGGAGAGATGGCCTGGTGGTTAAAAACACTGGTTCCTCCTCTCCCAGAGGACACAAGTTAGATTCCCAAAACCCACATGGAGGCTCACAACTGTTTGTAATTCCATGCCCTCTTCTGGCCTCTGCAGTCACCAGATATGCAAATGATGCACATACAAGCATACAGGCAAAACAACCATACACCCAATATTTTAAATGGCTGCCTTCAAGATGGCCCATTGGGTAACAAATCTTGCTGGGAATGACTGCTGACCTAAGGTGGGTGTTCAAATCCCACAGCAGAAGAGAGCGGCTCCCAAGGGCTGTCCTCTGATCGCTACACACCCACACTCACACATCATATACTCACTATAATAATATCATTTGTTTTAATTTAAAGAAAGACAGAAAAGAAAAATGCTAAAAAAAAAATAAATTCAGCCAACGCAAACTTTTTTTTGGGGGGGATGGGGCTCAAAACAGGGTTTCTCTGTGTAGCCCTGGCTGTCCTGGAAATCGTTCTGTAGACCAGGCTGGCCTTGAACTCAGAGATCCTCCTGCCTCTGCCTCCCCAGAACTGGAATTAAAGGCATGTGCCACCAATGCCTGGTCTTTTGTTTAATTTTTAAATTAGTTTTTTATCTCATTTATTTTGAGTGTGAGCACACATGTCTCGCCATACATGTGAAGGTCCATGAACAACTTTTGGGAGCTGGCTCTGTCCTTCCACCACACAGGTCCTAGGAATGGAACTGAAGTCTTCGTGCCTGAAACATTTCCAGAACTCATACTAACATTTAAAGGTATACTTTTTATTATGTTTATTTATTTACTGTGTATGGGTGTGCCACAACATGTGTATGGAGGTGAGAGGACAAGGAGCTGGTTCTCTTTATGATATGTGGGTCCTGGGGGTTGAACTCAGACTGCAAGCTTGGCAGGAAGTGCCTTTACCAGCTGAGCCACCTTGCTGGCCTCCAATGTTAACCATTTTTGAGGCTTACCATATGCCCATCACAGTGCCACACATCTTAAACTTCGGGCCTCATAAAATTCTCACGCCAGTCCTGTAAGTATAATGACCTCCCTTCTGAAGGAAGGTAAGAAAACTGATGTGTAAAGAGGGATGTCAGGCATGGACTCCACAGGTCTCCGACCTAAGCAATACATGCATTTTGTCAACGGCAGAGTATTTTCCACATTAGCAACTACTTAGGTCAGGGGCTGAAACAGAGGCTCTACAAAGCAGTATTTCACAAATTCACCCCCAAAATGTTTCAAAGCGACGTTGGTTCAAGTAACTGGGGCTCAGAGAAGTTTTGCAACTTTCCCGAAGTCACCAAGTGCAGCAGACCGCCTCAGAGAGTGGACATCTCCCGGCTCTCTACCTTGAACAAGGGAAGAATCCCTCCAGCATTTACTATCGCTGCCACGGTATCCCAAGACGCTTAAGCCCGTGTGGAATCCTAAAACCCCGTATGCACCTGTCCTAACTGCCCTGACCAGTTATCAAAGCTCCCCTAGACTCTCCTGATTCTGAGAGCTCTAAGTCAGCACCATGTCCATCTCCCCATCCTGGGCAAGGGGATGGATGTGACGGCGTAAGGTTGGTGAGGGGGAGGGAAAGCCACGGAAGGCGCATGTCCAGGCAGCTCCATTCACGCACGGCTCACCTGAGAGTCCCGAAATTCCACCACCACGTTCTCGCTGCTCCACCGCGCTGCCATTTCCTTATCCCGATTGTGGGGGTGCCTATCGGCAACCCCCCCCCCCCCAATCCCAAACCCCAAGACTTCCCGGGCTAGTAAGCTCCACAACGCCTGGCAATAGATTTGGCCACGCCCGTTTCCCCGCCTTTCGCTTGACCGTAAGTCATTGGCTAACCCAATGATAGACCCCGCCCCTTGTGCTCTCTCCCCCAACGGCGAACCTCGCCTGCCCCCAAACAGGAACGCCCCCTTCATTCCGTCATCAGTAGGAGTCAACCGGGCACCGTGCGGCTGCTGACACGCCCCTTTGCCGTGAGCTCTGCTGGGAATTGTAGTCCAGGGTCAGCATAGAGTCGGTGACCCGCGAAGAGCCGGAGGTTAGAAGGCAGATGCCAATTGTCCGGTCCACTTTCTGGTTGGTTGATGTTCCCGTATTCTCCTTCACACAGTCTATAAACAAAACCGATATCCGTACCAAAGGAAAACACCTTTTCTGATGCCTGCCATCAAGGATTTGAAAAAAATAAAATGCATATTTTATTGTTTCGTGCTGTACCGCCGCACCTCTTAAGTATTCAGGGGCTCTTGAGGGTTTCCGTGACAGTTTGGGGGTGGGGAGGCAAGTCCCCAAAGGTAAAACAATTTCATAATCCTACTAACATGTTACTTTCACTTTCTCTCACCAGTGTGCGGTAGAATTCTCCTATTGTGCTAATAACCAATAGAGGGAATGTACCCAGAGGGATGATTTAAGAATAAATAAACTCTATCTATAATTTTGGTTTTGGAAAGTCTAATTGTTGGTTTTTGTTTGTTTCTTCACTTAAGATGTGTAACTAAACCAGGCGGACGTGGCATACACCTCAGAGGCAGGCAATCTCTTTCTTGAGTTTGAGGCAGCCTGGTCTACTGAATGGAGTTCCAGGACAGCCAGTGTTTGTCATGCAGAGAAAAGATGTGTAATTAGTATTAATGAGAGTTGCTATTTAATCATAACTTTTTTATTCACGACTTTAATTTCTAATAATTACTATCAATATATTAATCCACACAAGTGGTTTTTGGCATCTTAGATAATTTTTGAGGGTGAAATAAAAAATAATCAAGAAGGTTAGTATAATAGATAATAGTTGATTTCTCTGCAGAAATGGAAATGGTTTGTCTTATTTAACTGTTGTAAGAATCCACAGAACCTGACGTGTTGTAAAGGCTCAAGTATAAACTATTATTCTTACTATTACCAGTATGCTGTTGGTTGTTTTACTCTTTTTGGCTTTTTCCCAAATAAACACACAGAGGCTTATTATTACTTATGAATGCCTGGCCTTAGCTTGGCTTGTTTCTAACCAGCTTTTCTTATCCTAAATTATTCTGTCTATCTTTTGCCTCTGGACTTTTCCCTTTCCTTGCTTTTGAATATCTTACTTTACTTCTTTCTCTGTGACTTGCTGTGTAGCTGGGTGGCTGGCCCCAGATGTTCTCCTCTCCTTGTTCTATCTTGCTCCTTCTTTTATTTATTCTGTCTGCCAGTCCCACCTATCCTCACTATTGGCCATTCACCGCTTTATCAGACTATCAGGTGTTTTAGACAAAGAATCACAGCTTCACAGAGTTAAACAAATGTAACAAAAGAATGTAACACATCTTTGCATCATTAAAACAAATGTTGGCACAGCATAAACAAATGTAACACATCTTAAAATAATATTCTACAATACCAGTATTTCTTTTTTATTTCTATTTTATGTGCATTGGGGTTTTGCCTGCATGTATGTCTGTGTTCAGACGGTCGCAAGCTGTCTGGTGCTCTTAATTGCCGAGCCATCTCTCCAGCCCCTATTAGTAGTATTTTTATGTGCAAGTCATTGTATGAATGGAGAGAAGGTGTGGGCTCCATTACCCCTGGAATGCTGGTTGTTAGAGGGTAGGGTGACCATTATCCCATTATCTCACTGTCTCACTGTTGTCTCTGCCAGGAATAGTCCAGATTTTAGAACTATATCAAAAAAAAAAACCCTCTTGCATCCCAGAAAACTGGAACAATTGATCACTATACAGTAGATAAATACTTGGCAGAATTGAATTATATAATAGATTTGTAAGCAATGTGTCAGGATGGAATAACCTAAATTGAGGACCTGAAGTGGCACCTTGAAGGTGACATTTGAATGTTTCAGTATATTAAGATTTATATAGGATACACTATTCAAAGGAAAAGTACTTCATTAAGAGTGTGAACAAAGTGCCTGGTGAGAGGGTGCACACCTTTAATTCCAGCACTTGGAAGGCAGAGGCAGGCAGATCTCTGAGTGTATACCAGCCTGGTCTACAGAGTGAGTTTCAGGCCAGCCAGAGCTATACAGAGAAACCCTGTCTTGGAAAACAAAAATAAAAATAAAAGAGTGTGAACAGAGACCTTGGTGTGAAGAGCGAGTTGTGTTCCAAAGATAGAAGACTGGTCTCCAATTTAACTCTCTTGTGGCACTATACATCTTTACTTCGAAGTACACATTGCTTTTTAATTCAATAATTATTTAATATTTCCAAACTTCAGAACAGGACCCTGGCCACGCTCCCAGAGAGCTTGGTAGGTTAGAAGGACCTTCTATGAAGCCAACAGTAACTTCAAGACTGCTGAAGCCCTTCATGTGTGACTCTCTTTTTAAAAACTTATTTTATTTATTTTTAAGTGTGTGTGTGTGTGTGTGTGTGTGTGTGTGTGTGTGTGTGTGTGTGGTGGGGGGGGATGATGTACAGATGGGTGCAGTTACCCGAGAAGGCCAGAAGAGAACATCAGATCCCCTGGAGCTGGAGTTACAGGTACTTGGTGATCCTTCGGTGTGAGTCCTGGGAGTGGAGCTCAAGTCCTCTGAAAGAGCAGTCTATCAATGGGTCATCTCTCTAACCCTGTGAAATTCTGTACATCTAGGAGAAAACATAAGATTGCCAGTTATTTTCCTGAATTCCTTCTTTCCCATCCGCCCATCGAGTTTCTCTCACACACTGAAGCTCTTTAAAAGAACAAAAACGAAAAACTACTAGAGAGCTAGAAAGAGATGGTTCAGTGATTAAGGACACTTACTCGAAATCATGAGGGCCAGAATTTGGATCTCGGACCCATGTAACAAATCTAGGCTCTGGCATGCACCTGTAGCACCAGATCCTAGTTGGGTGGAGACAGGACAGGAGGATCACTGGAGCTTGCTGGCATTCATTCTCGCTGAGAAAACATGAGCCGTAGGTTCAGAGAGAGACCCTGCCTCAAAACAATAGGTGGGGGAAATCTGATGCCTTCTTCTGGTCTCCCCATGCACAGAAGCAACTGCACATGGGTGAGTACAAACACATATACCAAGGTACTCATACAAAGAAACACATGCATCTATTTAAAAAAACCTTCTAGAGTGAACTGTAACGTCAAGTTTTAGTCAATCCCAGAACTTAGGGTACACTATCAAAACAGGATCATTAGGGGTCTGGAGAGATGGGGCATTGGTTTAATCACTTGCTGCTCTTCCAGGGGTCTAGGATGGGGCTGCTCACAAGAGCATATAACTTCAGCCCTAGGGGACCTGATGCCTTCTTCTGGCCTTCATGAGTACCTGCATACATGTGGCATATACACACAAACACATAAACAAAAATTTAAAAAAATCTTTTAAAAAATTCAGGCATGGGGGGCTGGAAAGATGGCTCAGTGGTTAAGAGCATTGCCTGCTCTTCCAAAGGTCCTGAGTTCAATTCCCAGCAACCACATGGTGGCTCACAACCATCTATAATGAGGTCTGGTGCCTTCTTCTGGCCTGCAGACATACACACAAACAGAATATTGTATTCATAATAAATAAATAATTTAAAAGAAAATTCAGGCATGGTGATACATGGCTTTAATCCCAGCACTCAGGAGGCAGAGGTAGGTGGATCTCTGTGAGTTCAAGGCTAGCCTGGTCTAAAGAGCAAGTTCCAGGACAGCCAGAGCTACACAGAGAGACTCTGTTTCGAAAAAAAAATGTTTTGGGGGATGGATAAAATATTACAAAGCTCTGTTTGTCCAAATGTATCCTGGTAATGTGCTGGATCACCTTGTGGGAGCTTTTCTGCAGTACTTCCCCCCTCTCGGCTCCTTCACCCACATTTCTCCAGTTCTCCCAGTCTTTTCTTTTTAAAAGACAGGTTCCCATGTAGCCCAGGCTGGCCTGGACCTCACTGTAGCACTAATGATTTTGATCTGATTCTCCTGCCTCCGGCTCTCAAGTGCCAGGATAACAGGCTTGTGCTACTACACCTGGGCTTCCAGGTCTCAAAATCAGCATGTCACCTGCTAAGAACACGCAAAGTACTTTGGAACAGATTCTTGGTGCTCCCTTTCTCACTGCTTTCTTCCTTTCTATAGAAAGAATGTCAAGGAGCCGAGCATGTGTGCCTCTCAGTTGCCTCCTCAGGCCCCTCTTTAACATCTTTCACCCACACTGTGTCCCACCCACAAAGTCATGTCATGACTCTGCCACCAAAGACTGAGGACTCTGAAGCAAAATCTAAAGCTCTCTGGCTGCTTTCTCGTTCTTACACACACCTGAGAGTCACGAGTAGTGTCCTGTCTGTGGCAGAGGCTGGGGAACATTGGCGGTCCTTGTCACATAGACCTCAATGTACTGACCACACAACAGGGCTCTTACCTTCCTGTCTTTCCAGAAGGTCACTTAATTAGCAAGCCAAAGAAAAGCAAGATACACAGAGACCAGGAAATCCAGGACCTCAGCTGGCTTTTAACAGCAGCTAGCCACAAAATTTCAACACAGCTGTGTTTTCTTTTTCACTGGGTGCTGGAGGGTGGCTTAGTGGTTAAGAGCACACACTGCTCTTGCAGAGGACCCACAATTGGTTCCAAGCACCCGGGTTAGGCAACAATGCCTTTGACCTTCATTGACACCTGAACCCACAGATAGACACCACACACACACACACACACACACACACACACACACACACAAATGAATCAGTACAAATGTAAAAAAAAAATTAAAGAACGGTAGGTTGATCCGTAACTTAGCCACTATGACCAGCCCTGCAGTGAACACTGGTGTCCTGGAACCTGTGTGACAGACTGACATGGAATCTTTTTGGTAAATACTCAGGAGTGGTATAGCTGGATCACATGGCGGATCTATTTTTGGTGTTTTGAGGAACCGCAACACTGCGATACTGATTTCCATACTGGCTGGACTAGTTTACATTCCCACCAGCATTATATAATACAACCCCTCTCTTCCAAGTCTCCCGTTTCCTCTTCTGCAGGATGTAGGGGTAGCTCACTGCTCCCCACCACCACCACCACCGCCGCCAAATCCTTTTACACCTGGAAACCTTGGACCCTTGCTCTGAGACCCACTAGTAATTTTTATCTCTTTGTCAATCAGCAAATATTTGAGGATGGGCTCACACGCTTAGCCCTCTGGCTTTGCATATTTGGTTGCTTGTTTCTCTGCTCAAGTTTTCTCTTTTCAAGTTAAACAATAAAAACATACAGAGCTCTAAGAGGGGTCAAGAGGACATTTCTCAGGGGAAGATTTTTATCTTTCCCAGTGGAGGAGCCTGGGATCTCTCAAAGGGTGGAAAGCCCTTCCATCCTGCCACTCTTAAGAGACAGCGAGAAGTTCTCCAGTGTCACCCGGGAGCTGGCCCTGACAATCCATCCCCTTTATTGTTTGAACTGTGCAAGCCCCAGACTTCTTGTAGATTTCCTAAGGTATTGAAACAGACTTCGTAGCAGCGTTGTCTGCGTTTTCACTTTTGCAGTGGGCTTTTGCAACACCTGTTTCATCAGCTTTCTCCTGCCGGTTATAGAAGGTGGGTCAATCAATATTCATTAACCCTGCTGCACGAAAGCGTGCCACGAAGCAGCTCACCCATAAACAGTAAGAACATAAAGACAAAAAAAGGAAGAAAGAAAGGAAGATAGAAGTCAACGACCTGTAGCAATGGCTAGTGGTTATTGCTCTTCCAAGAGAACCCAGGTTTGCTTCCCACCACCCATGCAGGGCAGCTCACAACTGCCTGTAACTGCAGCTCCAGGGTATCGGCACTCTCTTCTGGCCTACCCAGGCACCACTACACACATGGTATAAACATAAATAAAATAAAAATCTTTTCTTTTTATTGATAGAGGTCCAATTCAAATAGGACCTCTGCTGTTATGGGGGGTGGGGGTCACGGAATATTGATAAGTTCTGAGACTCCATTGTCTCCTGTGCCCATGAGGATCCTTCTTCCACGCATATCATCTGAACACAAAGGAAAGGATTTGCTGTCTTTCCCAGACCCATTAACCTTTTCCCCCTGTGGTGCAAGGAATCCAACCCAGGGCCCTGAGCTACACAAGTGCCTGACTACTGAGCTATAGTCTTAAACCTTCCTCCCCACTTTTTTTTTTTTAAACAAAGATTCTTGCTAAATTACCCACGCTAGCCTTGAATTCACTCTGTAACCCAGGGGGTCTTAAACCCCAATTCCCTTATCACAGCCTCTCAAGTAGCTAGGATTATAGTCATGTGTTGCCAGCCTGGTTTCACAGTATGTGGACGTAGGTGTGTATGTGCGTGTCTACATGTTCAGTGCATGTGGGCATACATGTGTGGGAGTGCATGTACACATACGCATTAGAGGCCAGAGAAGAAGATATACCAGGTGTCTTTTTCTATAACTCTCTACCTTATGTATTGAAGCAGGATCTCTCACTTGGACCCAAAGCTTGCCACTTTGGCTAGTCTAGCTGGCCAGCTTGCTCTGGGGATCCCTTGTCTCCACCTCCCATGTGATTGGAGTACAAGGAGGTGGCATGCCCACCTGGTATTTACATGGGTACTGAGGATCCAAACCCTTCTTTCACATTTTTCTCATGCTGCCATGGTAAACGCTTTACCTGCTGAGCCATCTCCCCAGTCCCTCACACTGGACTCTTGATGCAACACATGACAACATGGAACTCCTCTAAGACCTTAGGACTGCTTGTTGCAATGTCATGAATTACTGCCAGGTAAAGGAAGGGCTCAAGCTGCTGAATCCCAGTTCCATATCATAACGTCACTTCCAAGAGAAAATTGTAATTTGGGTACATGTGCAGGGCAGTTGCAAGGGCAGTCTCTTAGAAGGGCAATGAAGCTCAGCATTAGTGTGTTCCAGAAAGAGGGGGCTTCGCTCAACTGTTTGGGTGGCAAACCTCTGCGCAGCAGCCTTTTAATAAACAGTAAGATATAATATAAAACTACAGGCCAAATGGCTCATTTGCAAAAAGAAATATAGCTTGAATCAGTCCTAATCTTTGTCATTTTGTTTAAAAGCATACAGAGCAAACAAAACTGTCATCTGGAGATTTCATGATTAGCATATCCACTTTAAAGCACTGAAGCTCAGTTCTATTCCTACTGGCTGTGGGACTTTTTCGTGTACATATGGCATGCATTTTCTGTTTATCCATCTAAATTTATAGGGCACAGTGAGCATGGCAGTAAACACTTATAACCTTGACACTCAGAAGGCAGAAGCAGGAAGATCAAGAACTTAAATCTATTCCTGTGGCACTGCACAGTGAGATTCTGTTCCATAAATAAAAATAAGGTGCTGGAGAGATAGCTCGGCGGTTAAGAGCATGAGTTGGTCTATCAGAGGCCAGAGTTCAGTGTCCAGCACCTGCATGGTGGTAGTTCCTAACCAGGTCCAGGAGATTTGACTTTCTCTTCTGACTTCTGGGGGCACTGCATGCATACGGTGCACATATGTACCCTCAGCAAAACACTTACACACCTAAATCTTTAAAAATGTTTAAATAAGAAATTTACATGGCAAAGAGTCAAAAATACTAAAACTTTGGCTAGTCTAGCTGGCCAGCTTGCTCTGGGGATCCCTTGTCTCCACCTCCCATGTGATTGGAGTACAAGGAGGTGGCAATATTATGTGGCATATTATGTGGACAATGTTTTTATCTATTCTGTCTCCCAGAATGCCCTAGCAGCCACTGTCTCTCTCCCAAGGGGACTACTATATTGCTTCATGTGTCTCTCCAATTTCTATGTGTGGATATACATAAATATCTTCAAGTATGTGCTGAAAGTACATAGATCTTTAGTTGGGGAAGAAGGAACTTGTCTTACTTTAAAAGGGGGCCAAGTTCAAATTTCTCAATTTCTTCAAGCTTTGGGATAGCCCCTCCCTCAAGGCATGACTGGAGAACAATACATGGAAAATTTATTGAAAAGCTGAGAATGACATTTAACTCCTGATCTTCTACTTCTCGTGTGCTGAGATTATAGGTGTATACCACCATGCTCAGTTCATGGAATACTAGCGATTGAACTCAAGACTCTATATACAGGGAATAAAGGGCTAACCTGGGCTATGTAATACAAAATAAAACTAGGCCTGGAGAGATAGCTCAGTCAGTAGCTCTTGCCACACCTAGCAGGATTCCTATCACACACCTATGTATATGTGTGTGCGCATGAGTGTGTGTGTGTGTGTGTGTGTAGTAAATTAATAAGATCAAAAACTACTTTGTTAAGAGGGTTATAATGTATTTAACTTCAAAAAAATAGAAGGATCAAGTATCTAGTTTCTTTTCTATACCACTTAAAATTGATGAATGTTCCCTTTTTGTGTGGGGGTAGGTGGTTCGAGACATGGTTTCCCAGTAGCTATGGAGCGAGTTCCGGGACTCACTCTGTAGATCAAACTGGCCTTGAACTCACAAAAATCTGCCTGTCTCTGCCTCCTGAGTACTGGGAGGCATGTGTCACTACTACCCGGCTGAATGTTCCCTTTTTTTATCATTTGTTTGTATTATTTTTCTTTATGTGTCTGTGTTTACATGAGTGAGTGCTACTTACATGTGGGTGCCAGTGGAAATCAAAAGAGGTCATCAGATTCCTTGGAGTTAGAGTTATAAATCAAACGCAGGTCCTCTGCAAGAGCAGTACACTTTCTATTGAGCCACCTCTCCAGCCTCTGTAATTTCCTTTTCTATTTCCTCAGGTCATGCTTTTTCTCTTTTAGAAGTACACACATTTGTACACTGATTTAGACACAGATGATAGATATCCTGGATATTATCTCAATGTGTTTGTCCTATATTTACATTTTATGAAGTTTTAGATTTACCTGCTTTTTGTGTATGACTGCCTTGCCTGCATGCAGGTAGGTGCATCATGAGCATGCTTTTTGGGTACCCTGGATCTGGGGTTACGAATGGTTGTGAATCACCACATAGGTGCTAAGAATGAACCCGGGGCTTCTGCAAGAGCAACAAATGCTCTTAACCCCTAAGTCATCTCTCTAGCCCAGACACAGATACCCACATTGGTTTTTCAAAACAGGGTTTCCCTGTGTAGCCCTGGCTGTCCTGGAACTTGCTTTGTAGACCAGGCTGGCTTCAAATTCAGAGATCCCCCTGCCTCTGCCTCTTGAGTGCTGGCATTAAAGGTGTGTGGCACAGCCTCGGTATTTCTTGCATTAGTTTTTCTTACAAAACTCTCAAAATTCTTTGTTCAGGGCTTTTTGCTTATCCCCAGATAACGCTATGCTTGCAAATAGACATCTTCTTGTGGCCTTCCAGGCTAGCCACACCGGAAGAGACAGGTCTCTCCAACTCTACCCTCCACACTCCATTTCTGGAAGCACCTGGCACACTTGACAAAGACACAGAGAAGCTAGGGACTGGGTGATGCTCACATCCAGCGCTGAGCACTTGGAAAATTACTTGCCCAATAAATAAGGTAACGTGGATATATGAGAAAGACTGGGTCTGAATTGGGAAGGTGATTGTTGCAAAATGAAGTTTGGACAACAAATATTTATTGAGTGCTCACTGTGTCCTTGCCTTGTGGCTCTATTTCAAAATACATGGTAAACAAAAACAGGAGTCAGCCTTGGACAAGGAGTTTCAAAAACCACTTCTTAGCTGCATCGTTCTATTTCCATGCTTTTTATCCACCTATTGATTTTTGAGGATTACATTCTAGCCTAAGGAATTGACTGGTTTCCTTAGACCCAAAGAGTTGGTTCTGATTTGTCAGCAAAACCCTGATTCCTATATGTCCCCAGGGCACTGTTGTATCTCCTAACAGCTAACCCTAAATGTTAAGACTCCCGATGTTTGGTTCCAAGCTAACTGCCCCCCAAATGCTAAAACTTCCTAATGTTGGTTGGGGTCCTAGGATGGGAACCTCCAAACGTACGCACAGCATATCCACCAGAGGGTGCTGTGAGGGCAGATTTGTGGCGGAGGGGGCTCACCCAATGACCCTCAAATCCAGGTGTTAGTTGGTTTTCTTTTTTTCTTGTTTTCTTCCCACCCACTAGAACCGAC